GCGTGACGATGCTGCGTGTCCCGTTATCCTTCGCCACCTGTTGCAGACTGAGCGGGAGGACATCACTCAGGTGAAGATGGCGAAGGAGTTGCTCTATGTTTTTATCGCAAGCTATTCCACTCCCTCCACTGCGCCGCATCCTTCCCTTCCTCTCTCCTGGCCTTCCTTCGTTCTGCACAATCGCTGATCTGGTTTTGCGCCGGCGCTCGCTAGACACTACCTTCCGCGCTACTTGCACTACTGAGCAGAACACGAATGCCGCCCCGTCCAGGTCTATAAACCTATACCTCCTAGCGACCGCGCTCCCTAACCGCTTGCGACCGCACACGACGTCTTCCTTGATGTGCACCACAGGACCCCCATTATTGACCTCTTTCAGTCATGTCTCACTAAGATCGAGCCTGGTCTTCGCAACATCACTGCCTCCTCTGGTACTCTTTTTCCCCCCATCTTTGAGGGGTGTGCCCTGTGCCCTTCTTGCCAGCCCGGCGGTCTTGGTCGCTGTTGCTGAGCCTGTTGCTTTGTCGGAGGTTGCATCAGTTGCTGCCTCCAGTTGCCAGCGCAACCGTAAGGGTCGTAAGAAGGGTGAATTGGGTGGTGGAGGTGGAGGTGTTGGGACGTCAGGAGGTGCTGATGCTGAAGGAGGTATAGGGTCCAATAGTGCGGTTGGAGGAGGTGTTGGTCCTTGAGGGGTAGTGGTGCAGTAGCAACAGTAGCAGAAGCATCCGCACCACCAGCAGCAGCAGTTTCACCAGCCGTAGTCGCAACAGTTTCAGCCGTGGGTCCCGCAGCAACAGTGGGGCTATGTCGTCCCCGACAGCATTGGCCGCGGCCGTGGACCCTGCCAGTACGTGATTCAGACTGGTCCACACTGCAGCCAGGTCTGCTCGTGTCCTGATCACTCCGCTGCGGTGCTTCAGCCGCCTCTCTGACCTCTACCGTGGTTGTTAAGGGCTTGCGGTGGAAGTCCCGGTCTGGAATGCACTGCTCCGCGGTGAGCTGCCTATCTTTGCTATGCGCATGTCTACGATCCATGCTGCTTTGTATTTCGCCCCTGTCAGGTATGCTGATGCCTATAGTGTTGCGGACTCTTATTGTTTGTGTGCGCCTAGTGTAGGATCTCTAGCTATCTCTAATGTAGGGTCCTCTGATGTTGCTGGCACAGGTGCGACCATCGCTGATGCATCACATTTCTTCACGCTTGACTCAGGCGTGTCTAGGTGCTTCGTTCGCCGCCACACCGGTCTCACGCCGCTTAAGGCACCAGTTTTCAAATTATATCTTGCATATATTGTAGGCTATATTGTGTTACCGTGTAGAGGGTACATACATTTGTCCTTATGCACCCTGTATGCCCTGCTGTTAACCATTTGTACTTATATCTTGTTCACACCAGTCCGAGTCGCGTTAGCTAACCCTACTTCTAGACAGGTCGTTGCTCACAACGCTACTTCTCTCTTGTGTGCGACAGTCCCCTCTGGCTCCCTCGCTGGTCTGCACATCCCTTCGTTCTCCAGGAACTCAGGGTGGAGCAAGGCGGCTCACCTAAGTCGCTAAGCAAAAACGTCAGCAAGAAGAGCTCCTAAGAAACCGTAGCACCAATGTAGATCTCTGCCTCACAAATGGACGAAGCTGCTGGCTCCGATGCCAAGACAAAAGCAGTAGTTCTAAGAAGAACTGAGAGTCTCGGCATCGATTTTCCACAAAGGATCAATGTGTCCCGTGGTTTTATTTTCTTGTCGTCCTCCAAGAACAAGTCACATGCATGATGTACTCGCGAGATAGTGCACTGACCTCTTAGTGGCCGACCAGTGCAGGTCGGTGTCTCCCAGTCGCAAGAAAGCGAGCAAGTATGCTGAGAGGGTATGCAAGGTCTGGACGAGTATAGGTCATCAGGTACATGAGGCACCCCACCAGCTCTGCGTACAGACCACTATGCTGAGCGGGATTGTCAGGGAAAAAAACTGAGAGTTTGTTGTCCACAACAAGAGGGTGGGCTGTGCAGAAGAGAAAAAAAGGCTGAAGCGCTCGAGGTTCTTATGCCTGCTCTATCCCTAGTGATCTGCAAGTCATGATAGTGACGCAACTCACCTAGGTTAGTGTAGTTGTGTCTCATCAGCAATTCGGTCTTCTTTGAGGTCAGTGCAACCTAGTCGGGAGTAGTGAAAACCAGGTCGTCGACGTAGATAAGGGTGCAGAAAGGATTCTCGCCATGGCGAACGAAGGGAGAAGGGTAAGCAAAGGACGGGCAGCAAGAGTAGTGCGTACCATGTCGTGCCACTCATAAGGAGCCTGTCATAGACCATATACTGGTCGCCTAAGGCTCCATTTGGCCCAAGAAGAAAACGACCCAGTGAAACCAGGTGAACGTCGGAGCTAGATCTGTTCATGCAGGTTGGCCTGGAGGAAGGCAGTGGAGAAGTGTAGCTAGTGGAGCTTTTCATCGTGCTGTGCCGCGATGTGCAGCAGTACACAAAGAGTGGACATATTCGGGGTGGGGGAGTCGGCCTGAAAGAAGTCTACCCCTTGTCGCTGACTAAAGCCACCAGCCACGCAGTGCGTCTTCAAGACAGGCGGTGCTCTAGATGGTGTTCCAGCTTGGAGATCCACGTGCCATCAATAATGTTGTACCAATACTCGCGCTTTGCAGGTTGTAAATTGTCTGGATTCACCTGGACATGAAAAAAACTTCGTTCTGCACCATGTTCACCACGCTCACTTCGCTTAGGAAAGGAGAGGGAGGAGTAGCGAGCAACAATAGCATCAATTCACTCCTTCGCCGATGCAACCTGGCGAATATGAGACTCGCTCGTCCGGCGACAGGAGTCGGCGAAGGGCAAGGCTCGCAGCAGCGTCACGCGACTGCTACACCGAGTACGCAAGACGAGCCGCGCTGTAGGTCTCCTAGTCCACCTGCGTGAAGTCAGCAGCAAGAGGAGTAGGAAGCTTGGTGCAGGCAGCTCAACGAAAGTGTAGGCATACAAAGTGTCATCATCATTGCACTGGTTTCGGAGGTAAATCGTGGCGTCAATCAACCACGCGTAAAAACCAATCGCCCGACCCTCCGCATCGAGCTGCAGGACACCCTCGGACGGCATGACTGAGGCACAACTTCAGTAGATGAGAGGGAACGGCAACACGCGGAGGAGAAGACAGGCAAGGGCAGTCAGTACACACGCGAAACACGCGCCGGGGCACAGAGTAGGCACGGTAGGGTGCGCCAGGGCGCGCAACGGGCGCGGCAGAGCGCGGTAGGCTCAGCAGGCACGGAAGGGCGCCCAGCAGGTGCGGCAAGTGCGGCGATGGTAGGTGCGGGCGGCAGCAAGCGCTTGCGTCGGCGGCAAGGAGGCACGGCGGCGACAGGCGCAAGCGCGGACGCTGCAGGTGCGGGCAGCGGCGGCAGCTAGGGCGTGGCAGGCGCAGCAGGCTCGCGACAGTGGGCCGACGAGTCTAGCAGGGTCAGCGGAGCTCGACGGAGCTAGCGGGGCCAACGGGGCTAGCAGGGTCAGCCGGGCACGATGCAGGTAGGTAGATAGGCGGGGCAGAAGTGTGAGACCTAACCTTAGCGCGTGATACCATGTTAACCAGATAATAAATTACTAAGGACGGGATACGTAGTCCTAGACTCCTAGGCATAACAACATGTACTCTCTATAGCAAAGCTACACATAGCTTATAGGGTATACATGTGAACCGCAAATGTGTAAACTGACAAACAGACCTTGAAGACTCACAATTGCAGATTGAGTATTACTACTGTAGTCTGTAGAGCAGCAATAGGAACATATTGCCTTGATTGAGCAAGTGCATTAGTTTTATTATTATTTTTCTCAACAAGTCTTTGAGTTTGTTTAGCCTGACAAAATCACTGTTTTAATTATTGAATATTACTGTACATGAGCAATACGAATGTTTGGGTTGGTGGTAGCGAGAGTGGATTGATAGTTTAGCGAAGCAGAGCTAAAGGGGATGGGAGGCAAGAGGAGATGGTGGAGGTGGCAAGGGGAGAGTTGGGAGAAGAGTGCGTGCGCAACGGACGGTGGGATCGCCATCCTCTCACTGCTTTGCACGCCGCCTCGCACTGCGTGGAGCGAGTAATAGAAGCAAGTCGGAAGCGCTGTGAAAGAGCTCAAGTATGGATAGGAATGAGGGTGGAAGCGAATGAGTTTAGTTGCGAGGTTTGGTGATTGCGCGTGGGTCCAGTGGCACGCATGTCGCATGCTCACCGCGCTGCTGCTCGCCTCGCCACCTGCGCCCTCCGCCCTTCCGGCAGGCGCGCGTGCGGGCGCGGGTTGGTCATCACGTGCGGGCAGCGGCCTTCCGGCAGGCGCGCGTGCGGGCGCGGGTGCGGCGGTGAAGCGGCAGGTGCGCGTGGGACGAGGTGGGCGACGAGCCCATTGCGAGCGCGAGCGGCGGATCCACGCGGCAGCGCCATTCGCGCGCCACCCGACCGTGCCCACCACTCACTGCACGCTGCTCGCCCACCCCCGCCCCCGCGCGCCACTCACCCACACCCACCCCCGCGCGGCAGTGACCCTTACCCCCCCGCGCGGCAGTGAAGCTTACCCAGAGGCGCGCGGCATGGGCGTGGTGGTAGCGAGCAGGCGTGCGTGCGCGGTTGGGTTTAGGGCTGGTGGGCGTGTGGGCAGCGCGCTTAACTCGCCATCCGCGCCAGCACCGCCCCACTCATCACCGCCCAACTCCGCTTTCCCGTAAGCCTCTCCCACACACACCCCACCACCCTGCCGCTTGACTCAGTATCGCGCTCAACCGTGCAACACGCGTGAGTGGGGAGAGTGAGTGGGGAGAGTGAGTGGGGAGAGTGAGTGGGGAGAGTGAGTGGGGAGAGTGAGTGGGGAGAGTGAGTGGGGAGAGTGAGTGGGGAGAACGAGTGGGGAGAGTGAGTGGGCAGAGTGAGTGGGGAGAGTGAGTGGGGAGAGTGAGTGGGGGGAGTGGTGCGAGAGTGGTGCGTGCGGTGAGTGCATGAGAGGGCGCAAGGCATGAGGCAAGTGCAACACGAATGCGCTGCTAGTGCTGTCCAGGTGAGAGTGCCTTTGCGGCGCACAGTGCGACATGCGGTGGGCGCGGCCCGTGAGCACTCCGTGTGGCCCGTGGGCGTGACAGCGTGGCATGGCATGCGCGTGTGCTGTGTGGCACTCGCGCGCGTCACAGCTGGGGCGCGTGCCCGTGGGCGTGGACGACGGCTTGCCCAACCACGTGCTGCTGTGCTGCGCCCTCCCTGCTGCCCACCCACCGCCGCCACCTCCCTCACCCACTCCAACGCCCGCCACTCCCTCAACTCCACCCGCCACACGCGCTCTCACCCTCCGCCTCTCCCTCGCCACACACCCGCCGCCCTTGCCTGCATGCATGCCTCTGCTTCTCTCGCCCACTCTGCGCTTTCGCCTGCACGCGCATGCTCCTGCTGCTGCCCACGTGGGAGCGGGCGAGGGAGTGCAAGCAGGGGTGCAGGGGGTGGCAGCAGGGGCGCGCAGGGAGGGCGAGTTGAGGCAGCTACTGCCTGGCGGCGCGGGAGTATTCAGCTTCTACTCTCTGCGCTGCAACTGGCGTTGGCTCTTGAGGTGGGTGGATTGGGGGGAGTGTGCATGGGGCAGTGAGCGTGGAGTGTGGGGGCGTGGGGGCGTGACGTGTGGGCGTTTGGTGGAGTGAGAGGGGCCATGGTTGATGTGGCATGGTGCATGCAGGATGCGGGGCACATGCCATTGGGGGAGGAACCACCTGCATGCACATCCCACCCGCATGCTCTCCACATGCGCGGCCCCCTTGCCGCCCCCTTGCTCCTCTCCAACCACCATTCCTTGCTTCGCCCTGCTTACCACCCGCCACCCAATGCGTGCCCTTGTTGCTGCCTGCTGTGGATGTGCGTGGGTGGTAGTGGGTGGGGTTGTGCATGGGGGTGGGTGGGGATGAGGGCAGGTGAGTGCGTGGATGAGGCATGATGGGGGGTTCAAGGAGCTGCACTGCCCTTCACTCTCACGCATTGCCCATCACGCCCATTCACACGCCTTGTATGCCTCCATGCACCGCATTGCCAATCACTGCACCACAATCACCACCACCTGCCACCCCACCCTCGCTGCCCGCTACACCTCACTGCTCTCCCCCACAATGCCACCACTCGCTGCACTAACCCTGCTTCGCAACCTAACTCTGTGTACCTCTCATTCCTCTCCGCCCATTCCCCTCCCTCCCTCCCCCCCTCCCTCCCTCACTCCCTCCCTCCCTCCCTCCCTCCTCCCTAACTCACTCCCTCCCTTGCTCCCTCACTCACTCACTCACTCTCCCCCCCTTCCTCCCTGCCTCCCTCCCGTGCACCCTGCCACTCTCTCTTGACGCACCTGCAGCAGCAGGGAATGACAGCCAGGCATCAGTCACTCCCCCACGCCCACGCCCACGCCCACGCCCACGCCCACACCCTGATCTTGCTGCCACACCTTCATGCTTGTGCTGCAGCCTGCCTCATATGCTGCAAGCGAGGGACGTTGCTTCTGACCGCTCTGTCCTGTGAAACCACTGCCTTGGTCCGTCTCAACTCATCATGCTCTGCTGTGCGTCACGAGGGCTGTCAACTGAATTCACAAGCACTGCCGCTGCAGCAGAAATTGAGGTGTATGGTACTTGCTTGAGCAGGCATTGTGTGTCGACTAAGAATGGACACTCACAGCATTCACTGACCCCAGCAGTATCTATAGTAGGCCGTGAAAGGTTACTGCATCCATTCATACTCCAATGCCACTTCAAATACTATCATCTTAAGATAGGCTAGGAGACAAGTGTCGAGAGTAATGTTTGAGTAAGGAGGGACAAGGAGATACAAATGTCGACCTAAAGTGTTGTACCCTTTAGAGGGCAACTCACAGTAGCCTATCTAACAATATATATAATATATAAACATTTGACACACCCCCATAGGCTAAGTGAGGGGCATCAAAACAACCAACGGAAACAAGGGGTCACAAGACCAGTCAAGAACAAGCATAAAAAACAAAGCTCAGGGTGGCGCTCAGAGTCACCACACACTCCGAGCACAAGCAAGTGGCCACAAGGCCAGTTCAAGAGTTTACTAGTATATATAGAAGCACAACAAGTAGAGCAAACAGCAAGTCTACAGCAACCGAGGGCCTACCTCAACAAGCCCCAACTGCACACAGAACCTGTGGTGGTCACCAGGCGCCAAGGCCTTGGTGAAGACGTCGGTAGTGTTGGCCTGTGAGGCCACAAAGTCCAAACGTGCCTGACCGCGTCGCTGCAACTCTCGCAGGAGGAAGTACCTCACGTCAATATGCCGGCACCTCCTGCTCCAGCACCCCCAGAGCTAGCGCCACCTGCGCCAGCACCTCCAGCTCCAGCACCCCCAGAGCTAGCGTCACGTGCGCCAGCACCTCCAGCTCCAGTACCCCGCGACCGAGCACCCCCAGACCGAGCACCGCCAGCGGCTGCACCTCCAGCTCCAACACCAACCGAGTCCAAAGTAAGCTGTCGCGGAAGTGCCGAAGGCTGCTGAGGGGACTGTGAGGAGGACTGCGGGGAGGGAGACGCTACCTGACGCGCGACCGAGGGTAGAGGGGTAGCGTGGGACACACCAGACGGGGCAGGACCTGGGGGGGGCGGGGGTACCGGAGGAGCGGGAGCAGGAGGAGGAGAGGGTGCGAGGAAGAGAGGGGGAGGGGGTACCGGGAGACCTCGACAGGGGTACCGGGTGTAGTAGGACACGGACTCGTCAAACCGGACGTCACGGGAGTCTAGGAACTGGTGGAGGGGAGGGTGGTAAAAGGACCAGTCAGCAGAGTCCACTGGGAAACCAAGGAAGACACATGGGACGGCGCGTGCCGAGAGCTTGTCCGCGGAGGTGTCGCGAACAAGTGCAAGGCAGCCCCAGACTCGAAAGGCCGACCCAACACCAGGGGATCCAGTCCAAAGACTGGTCGGTGAAGCCTCGGGCCGCGAGACACGCGGCTGGAGGTTCAGCTGGTGTGCGGCGTAGCGAACCGCGTGGGGCCACAGAAAATGGGGCGCACGGGCATGAATCATGGACGTGCGGGCGATGTCCATGACCAAGCCTATGCGGCGCTCAGCAACCCCATTCTGCTGTGGGGACTCTGGCAGCGTCCAGGACTGGGTGATGCCCTGTTCGCCGCAGAATCCGCCGAGAATGCCGGAGCGAAACTCGCCCCCACGGTCGGAGTGAAGACAACTGACTCGACGACCACGAGTGCCCTCAGTGGCTAGAAGCCACCTGATCAGCGTAGCAGTCACCTCGGACTTCTTCGCAAGAGGGAACACTGTGGTGTACCTGGAGAAGTCGTCGACGACCACCAGAAAGTAACGCTCCCTCCCAGACCCCTGCGTCGGGGCAGGGCCCCAGACGTCCAAGTGGAGAGTCTCGAAGGGAGCGGTGGCCGGACGAAGGGAGGAGGAGTGGGGAGTGGCGCGTAAGCGACCGGCGACGCACGGAGAGCAAGGAGGGGCAAGCGAGAGAGGGAGCGACGGGAAGGTGCGTGGGAGACCTGTGACTAGTCCCTGACTGAGCATGCCACGAAGGCGAGGGATCGACGGGTGGCCAAGACGGTGGTGCCACAGGACGGTGCGGTGGGCGAGAGAGCGACAGGAGCAAGACGCAGCGACTGGACTGGACACAGCGACCGGACTGGACACGACTACCTGGCTAGACACAGCAACTGGACTGGGGACCTGAGCCGGAGGGGACGCAACAACCTGAGGGGAGGACGCGACCGGGGAGCGCTCGGTGTGGAGAACGTAGAGACCGGAGCGGGGCTCCCTGGTGAACGTGGCCAGAACAGCACCTGTGGTAGCGTCAGTACAGACTGCAGTCCGCCCCCCCCCCCCACAAAGGTAACGGTGATCCCCCTGTCCTGGAGGTATCCAACACCCACCAAGTTCCGAGTGAACGAGGGGATGTGGAGGCCGCGCAAGACACCAGAGGGGACCACAGGGCACGGGAGGGTGGTGGAGCTGCGCGCAACGGCTGGTCCTGAAGAAGGATCAGCCAAAGCTACCGGAACCGGAGCAAGAAGTGGTGTGAGGGTCGTGTGGTCGCGGAAGAAACACTGCGACGCGCCAGAGTCCAGCGTGAACGACAGAGACGCCTCAGCCGGAGGCGTGTCAGGTCCGGAGGCTACACAAGCACCTAGAGCAGAAACACAAGCACCTAGACTAGAGAGGCACAGGTCTACACTAACAGGAGGCAAGCATCCTAGACTACGAACACGCGAGCACACAAATCCATCAGCACTATAGTCAACATTAGCATACAAAGCATACTGACGAGCATCATCCATAGACAGTTCAAATACAGGAATCTTACGGGCTAGCAGGCGAGCCCAGCGCGGGGTGGTCGCCTCAGGACCCCAGCGTGCACGGTAGAGGTCGTCGAGGCGGCGGAAGCACCGCGCTGCAGAGTGGTCGTCGCGGCCGCAGACACAGGGACTGCCAGGTCCGGTGACGCACCAGTGGTCGCAGGGGCCGGTGTCGCGCCGCGGGGGGCGAGGGGCCCAGCTGGTAGTGCTGCTGCTGCGGCCAGTGCTCCCGGGTCCTCCAGGTCCCCACTGTGGCGGAGGGCCCCAGTGCTGCTGCGGACCCCACTGCAGTGGGGGTCCCCACGTCTGAAACTGCTGTGGTGCCTGCCACTGCTGCTGTCCCTGGTGCAGCTGCTGTCTCTGCTGTGGCTGCTGCTGCTGTGGCTGCTGCTGCTGGGGCCCCGCACCACCGCTGGTCGAACCTCCTCCAGCAGGTGGGTCAGCACCTCCTCCAGAGCTCCCTCCGCCTGGGGCAACACCGCCACCACTGCCGCCCCCAGGGCCGCCTCCACCACCGCCACCTCCTCCACCGCCGCCACCCCCCTTCCCCCCTTTCTTGCCCCCCTTGCCCCGTTTCTGCCTGTCAGCGGCAGAAACAGCTGCAGTGTCCTCAAAAACCGACACAGCAGCAGAGGCACGTGTAGCAGTGAAGGTAGGAAGCTGGGGGACAGCACACCCCTCAAACAAACGAGGGGCAACTGCGTCAGTGGCTGAGGCAACAGAGAGGAGGTTACTCTCGAGCTTCCCGAGAGTGGTCTCGAGAAGATCAATCGTAAGCTCACTGGGGTGATGCTGGAGAAGTGCGTCACGGGCAGTGGAGAGGCGGTCAGGGAGACGAGTGACTACCCAGTGGACTGTGAGCCAAATAGGAGGAGGAGCAACAAGAAGCTGAGCCTCAGTGCAAGCTGCTCGGTAGCTAGCGACAAGGGAGCGCAAGTGTGTGGCTAGGTCAGAGACAGTCGCAAAAGAGCCGAGGTCGGGAAACACGAACGGCATGAGGATGCGGCTGAGGGAGGCAGAGGAAGGGGTGGAATAGCGTGCAGAAATAGCATCATACACCTCCTTCGCAGTCTCTACCAGGTCGAAGTGAGCGGCCTCAGTCAGTGGAAGGAGCTCGGTCAGCGCGAGTGCAGCCGCAGCGTCACGGGAGTCCCAAACGTCCCGCGCCAAGACGAGACGAGCGTAGTCCGCCTGTGCCTCCGGAGTCGGGGGGGGCACGGCAGGGAGGGGCTCGGGACGCGGTGGTGCCTGGAGGGCGCCGGACGCGTGGGCGTACAGGGTGGCGCCGTCCTGGCGCTGACTGGTGAGATAGCGCTGAGTCTGGCGGAGCCA